TCACAGAGGTCTGACTGAAGTACAAAGAGGTCTAATCCTAGGGGAGAAAATGTGAAGCAGAGAAATGGATCTAGTACTAGTACATTTAGAAAAATATAGCTTTACCTGCTGTTTGAAATGGCAGACTGACTTACTCAGTTCAAGAGTGTGTTTATGTTGCAACCACCAGACTAATACCATTTTAGATCAATTTTTTCAGTAAACCACCCAAATATGTACTTAGAGGCATTTATTCTGTTTTCTGTGGTCTTTAAAATAGATCATTTAAAAAAAAATTATTCATAAAAGACTTTTCATGTTTTAAAAAATTACTCTGTAAATAATCATATTAGTATATTCATATGTATGCAAGTGATTCATAGTTTTACTATTACATACTTGAGGGTATATGATAGCAGGCATTTTTTTTTTTTTGGTGGTTTTCAAAGAATGCAAAGAAATATGAAGTATGTTCCATACCCTCAAATATTTATGTACATTGAGTAACTGTGGCCTGGCTCAATCAGAGCTTCCTATACAAGATAGGTTAGAAGAGATAAGTTATGTGAAAATTTCTGGGTTGCAATACACATTCTTCCCCTCATAGAACTCAAACCCTATCAAGATGCAAATTACTTATGCACATCAAATAACAGCTACCCATGAAAAGTAATAGATAACTAATAATATATGAATACGTAGATGAAGGGGTCCAGAAGGGAGAAAAGGGGTGAGATTGCTGAAGTTTATAATGGTCAAAGAAAGCTTCCTGGGGAGGTGGAATCTAGGCAGGGATTGTAAAGTTGGTGAGATCTGAAGCAGAAATAGCCTGGACCAAGTAGTGGCAGAGAGTAGACAGAGAGATGTGGGCAAATTGGCAAAATTTCCCATTGCAGTAAATTGCTTGATGTGGCCCTTCTAGCCATTGTCCTCCATTCTGTGATGTTTTGTAAATGTCATTATCCATGTCTATTTGGGGTGGTGTGGTAGTTAAGGTCAGGTATCAACTTGGCTGGGCAGCTGGTAGTAGTCATTCCATATAATGACTGGCAATCGACTCTGTGATGGGATTTAGGTTAATTCTGTTGGGGCAACACAGGTGGAATGTATCTTGAGTCCTGCCTTGCTGGAGGGTATAATTCATATCACCACCCTTAGCTTCCCTGAGGGTATACCTACGAATCTCCTGGGAAGATTCGCTCTCCTCTTGCTCTGGCTTTGTGTCTTGTATCATCCTCATCTCACCCCTGGATTTGGGACAGCAGCCATCATCTGATCTGCTGATTGAGGTTCATCAAACCCCGAGAGTTGGGAGGATCCGCCAGACGTACTCACGGACCTGGGACTCGCCAGCCTGCCAGCCTCCAGCACTTATTATGTGAGACGAACCCTTGGGTGTCTGTGAGTTCTGTGAGGCGTTACAGCAAAATACAGAACCCTAAGACTGGGGAAATTACTGGGAGGAGGAGGAGGAGTTAATGTCTGAAATGATGGAGTGGCATGATAGTTTGGACATTTGGGGCATCTTTGACCTCCGCCTCATGGGGACCGGCCTCGTGCTGATCTTTCTAAGAGAAATTGTTCAAGCACCCCATGAACACATAAAAGGTAGAACACGTGAAACTTGAGTATTGATTTGGTGTTACCACAGACAACTCCCACAACTCTGAGGAGTTGGGTGGATGAGGGTGTCATGTACTAAGATATGGGGAACTCCTTTCTATGCCTTTTTTGAGCTCTGAACCTCTAAAGCCAACTAGCTATGGAACAATTCCACTCGGAGGCCTTCAAACACAGTTAACCAAAGCTTAATCCTCCATTGTATTCTTCCCAGACCGCTTCTCCTCTAAAGCATAGGGGATGATCATGAAGCCTGGGTAAAGGAGAGTCTGTCAGGAAAGCAAGGTAGCACTAAACCATAGAGCCCTGAGGAACCTCAGTATTAGGTTTGGCAAGAGCAGAAGGTAGAAAACCACTGGAAATGGGTTGAATCATGAAACCCAAGGGAAAGGATTGTTTCAAGGAACTGGTTAAAAATTCCAGAGAAGCCAATGTAGGTAAGGCCTAAAAAATATGGTAACCTTTGTCCAAGCATTTTTAGAAAGAGTCATAGAAAGAGGATCCAGGTTGCATTGGGTGTGACTGTGAATGGGAACCAAAACTCGGGCGAAGACTGAGTGTGCTCTAATGACAAGAACAGAGAGATGTTGGGTGGTAGCAGGATGAGGGACTCAGAGAAAGTTTTTTTTTTTTTTTTTTTTTTTTTAGGTGCGAGAGATGATCATGTCCAAATGTTGATGGGAAAGGGTCAGGGGCTAGGCAGGCAATAAGTATTATTAAGGTATTATTTCTAAAGAAATTATTGAGAATCACACCTTTGCAAAATTGCCAAATTGTTGTTTATTGCCATCGAGTTGATTCAGGCTTGTGCAAGCCCATGTGTGCAGAGTAGAACTTCTTAATAGGGTTTTCAGAGCTGTGACTTTTTGGAAACAGATTGCCAGGCCTGTCTTTTGAAATATCACTGAGTGGGTTCGAACCATCACACTTTTGGCTGAGTAGAGTGCATAAGTGTTTGCACCACCAGGGACTCCTGTCCTTGAGGTAGTAGTATACTAAAGTGAAATTCACAGAAGTTTGGATGTTATCACAGTAATAGTATTACAGACTTCCTAGCAGCATGCCAACCAATAGGTGCTCCTCCCCAGTCACTAGCTCTCATTCAGGGCATTCTGTTTCAGTTGTGATCTGACAGTGGCATACATTGATAAATAAAAATATTTTAGATGAAGAATATTAACATATTCTTACGAAATAGAAATCTTTTGTGGATTGAGTTGTATTTATTATTCATCTTTTTCTTTTGTATAAAGAAGTTAAATGACATTTTTTTATACTAGCTGCTACATTCATGGAGATAAGTTTTTAGGACAATTATATTGGGAGGTTAGATTTTCCTTTTTTCCACATGCCATTTAAGTAGAAATCAAGAGCCCCAACTCCACCCATCTACCTTGAATGCAACTTGTCCTTCACAGCTCATGGATTTTCTATGCATTACAGCTCTGGGAAAGACCCCTGGAGAATGAAGAGAAGGCAAGGAAAAATGGAGAGACCATGCTAAAAGTATGGAGTCCTGGGAAATGCAAGTCCTGGGAGTGAGAAAGCTTTGACAGAAATAGGCATTTGATTGGGTCAGGAAGTTGAGGCTGGCAGCAACTGACCCTGAGTCTGCTGGACTGACCCTAGGAAATAAGGTGTCTATTTTCATCATTACTTACCCTTTCTTCCCATTTCTTCATTTTCCATGTTCACTTCTCCCTTCTTTTCTACATACTTCTTAGCTGTGTGCACTGCAGTTCATCTGCCCTATGCTATAAAAAGTTTGAGCATAAGATGTAAATATTATTTAACATAACACAGAATCAATAATACATCTAAATTAATGAGGGCTATTGGGGTGGGGAGCTATGAGGAGGTCGAACCTGTTATGATTTATATCCCAAAAGGAGTAAACGGAGGGTCAATTGGGATAGAACCATCTTGTTTCACTTTTCCCTCTTTGCTTTGGCAGATGAACAGACTTGAGTTTTCTGTGAATAGATGGTTGACATTCAGATAAAAATTAACTTCAATACTAAGTTTTCAGAAGAAAGCAAATTCATACATTTTAACAGCTCCATCCGTGTGTCCAACCTTCTGTGGGCAGGCATACACTTATTATGTGCGTGTGCATATGTATGCCAGGTGCATGCTTGTGGATGTATTATGAGGGGGTGACCCGCTGGACTATGTGGCATTTATGTACATATGCTATGTGTTTTCTTGGTATTTTTGATGCTATAAACCAGGGTAAGAAATGGCCATAAATATACATTGGATGACTGTCATTTAATTATGCTAAAATTTTATCTCCCCAGTTCAGTTGGAATAATTTCATTAGCAGTGCTTTAAGGGACAGAATATATGGTTGAATTTTCTTTTAGTAAATTGCCTAGTTATATTGGATCCAATTAAGTTTTGCATATGTTATCACTATGACTAAATGCAACCAACTGTGGTATTAAGTAAAATTATTTTAGTAAAAAGTAAGTTGTACTTAATATATACTGAACTAGCAAACATAGTAAATGCAGATCTTCAAAAATAACACATTGTTTTTACTTAAAGCATAAAAATAATCATTTACATATTTTCCCCCAGATCCTTATATATTCTCATTAAAAAACACCATATAATTTAGCATTTGCATAGAATATTATGAGAAGTAATTGTAAAATTGTTAGGAAGTTTACAGTAAAAAATTCCAATTACTTTGATAAACATCAAGATCTAGAAATGATTGTTTCTCTTCTTCAAGGGTGAAAATCATTTTTACTATAATCAAGATTTTAAAAGTCATAATCATGAAATAAGTAAATAAGTAAACGTTGCTTAAGACTGATATTTCTTTAATTATCTAATGATTTTTTTTTTAATTGTCTGTTGGAAAATTACAGTGGAAAAATAAATGTTGGCGTAATAATTTTGCATTCCATCTCACTGTCAATAAAAATATTTTAGATGTTAAAACAAACAAACACCTACCTATTCTTCCGAAAATAATAATAGCCCAAATGAACCAACCACAAATGGAAAAACATATACCAGAAATAGCCCAGGAGACCTGGCTGCCATGCTACTGGGGAGAGAGGTTCTAGTCTCTTTACTGGGTTAACTACTCTCCCCTGGCTAGAATGCTTTATGGGCCTTGGGCCTTTGTTTTCTCATCTATAAAATGTGGTTTGGCAGTTGAACTGAGACATTGAAATAGGTGGTTTCTAAGTACCCCCCACCCCCACCCCACTGTCACATCTGAAGGGTATCACTCTGTGATTGTTTTCCTAGTTTCTACTCAGTTCATCTAAGTGGAGTTTGTGGTTGGAAATGTTCTTACAGGACATAGTTTAGGAATAGATGTCCTTAGAATACTAGCTGAAAAAGTATCAACCTAAAATTTTTATGTATGTTTACAATTTTAGGTATGCTATACCCCCGGAGCATGGAAAACGTCTTGAAAGACTAGCTCAAGGTAAACATGCTTTCAGTGTTTCTTATCTAGACAGGTTCTTTGTTTTTGAGGCATTTCACAGTGTAGATTGTCACTCTGCTAATTTTATTCTTTTGAAGCTATTGGCATTTTACTGTATCTCTAATTGAACGATTTAAATTTTCCACCCTAATTTGTGAATGTTTCTGTCAGTTGCATTATCTTCATGGTTATTTTAGTTGGCTGCTTAGTATTTCATCAAGTGATTGTACTTAACCTATTTTGGTTGTTGCCAGTTTATTTTTCTGTTTCATATAATATATTCAACATCACTTCAATAATCCCTTCTTTAAGTTATTGTTGTGGAATCTTGGGATGCAAGCTCTCTAGGACTACTTTCATGTTGCTGTGTCATTTCCTCATAGTGGGGGTAAATCACCGACTGACCCCCAGTTCCTCTGTGGTCCAGTGGGTATGGTGGAATTATGAAGGTACTTGGGCACATATGACTGTTCATCTCCTTGGACTGGCAAAATTCAATGCACTTTATTGGAACTTTAGTTTTTTTGGCTTTGTACGTCTTCAGAGAGGGATCCCTTTTAACACAGTAGTTAAATGCTCGGTTAACAATTCAAACCCACCAGCCACTCTGTGGGAGAAAGTTGTGGCATTCTGCTTCTGTAAAGATTACAGCCTGGGAAAACCTTGTGGAATAGTTCTACTCTGTCCTATGAGTCAGAATGAACTCAGAGCCAACGAGTTTGATTTGATGTTTGGTATCTTCAGAAGGACCAAATCAAAGAATTCTCCTGGAAGCTCTATTGATGGTTTTGCTCTGTTTCAGACTAGACCTTCTGTCTCTTCCTCCTTTCTCTTTTTTCTTAAAGATACATCAGACAGCCTTGCCCTGTCTACTTATACATGGGTGGAGAATCAGTCTCATCCTCTGCCATCCATATCTTCTGTTTTCTAGCCACTACTCCCAAGAAGCAAGTAGGCTGGTAGAGACTTATTTTCAGACTATGGATTCCATTTGAGTGACAACTAAGGAGCAAGACATCCTGCTTTTATTCATGTTTGAATTCTCTGTAAGAAGTGGCCTTGTAGTTAGATGCTGATTTAAGTTTCATTGTGATGGTTGGTTTGAATTCTATTACCAAAACAAAGAACCTGTTGCTATCAAGTCAACTCAGATTGGGGACTCTGTGCTACAGAGTAGAACTGCTCCACAGGGTTTTCTTAGCAATAATCTTTATGGATTGTAGATCACTGGGCCTTTCTTCCGTGGCACTGCTGGGTAGGTTTGAACCACCAACCTTTAGGTTAGTAGAGGAATGCAAACCATTTGCACCACCCAGGGACCTCTTTCCTTCTGTTAGGTGAGGAACTTTGTCCCCCCATTTGATAGGCTTTGTTTAATAATGAAGTAGACATGCTGAGAAACTCCATTCTTTGGGTAATCCTGAGCAGAAATTGTTAATGGCATGTAAAAATTACATTCTCCCAAATTATGGAGGAGTATTAGAGGGAACACTTACAATATTACATATGGGAGAAGCATTGTTGTACTTTTGGCAAGCTAATAACTATACAGCCCCAGTGCTTTTATAATTTAATACATTATAGTAATATTAGCAATTCACTTGTAATTTTGAACTTTGTTTGGGACCATTGTAAAGGTGGCTGAGAACTGATACTGGATAATAGATTACAGCAGAACTTGGAAGATGATTACCATCATCTTTATGTACACAGGCAATGAACTTTTGGCTAAAACTGTATGCTGAACTACCCTTTTTTCAGTAATAATTATTTCACCATTTCCTACTAACTTCACCACCAGAGAACTTTTAAAATGAACTCAATGCAAATTTTACAGTGCAGAGTACCACACTAAAACTTTTGATGTAAATGCTCTCTGTAAAATTTATTTAATCAGTAAGAAGTTAATAAACTTGAAGACTGAACCAAAACTTTAAACTCAATTGTGTGTTTACTTAAAACTGTTTTGCAGCATTATTTTGAGAAGTGAAACAAGGGAAAGACCTTACAAGAGAGTGGAGAATTTGCTTTAGTTGACCAGATGCCTGCCAACTTAATTGAATTCTTCTGAATAATTAAAATGATAAAATAATGCAGTAAATGTGATGGAGCATTATAGAATGTCTAGGTCAAGGCAGCACTTGATACATAAAGTTAAAAGCAGGCTCGGATATTTTCCATTATCTTGTCTGCACATCATAATTACTACACTTGCCTTTTATGCATGAGTGGTTTCATCTCTGGTTTCTATTGAAATTTTGATTGACTGTGGCACCTACAAATATTTTATCTGAAAGACATCAGGCCTGTAGCTAATAAAGCCAGCAGCTGGATTTTTGCCCTTCAGCTGCTTTCTCATTTCTACAGGTTTTTTACAGTTTAATGTAGATATAATGTAGTAAAAAAAATCTCATGGGAATTGTTGCAGTTTTTAAATTTGTTATGCTTGTCTGTAATACCATTACATTCTTTTTGATTTTTGGTTTGATACAATTGAATGGAAAGTTTAGAGGAGTGCAGCAGTACAGTGCTAAATCACAAGTGGCAGTTTAGAAGATTTTCAGTTTTTAAGATGTCTAAGTCTCATCTGCTTCGAAATCAGACAATATCTTTGCTGTTCTATTAAGTTAAGCAATATATGGATTAGAGTAGATGGGAGACTATATTCCATTTGTCCTTTACTGTGAACCAAATGCTCATATTAAAAGAAAAATGGAAGATGATTTACTTTGGGGAAAATTTTTGGTTTCTGGGAAAGGAATATGAGGACTCTGTATAGTCTATTTTGGAAGTTGATGGATTGCTAGCAATCTTGTTTAAAGTGACAGTATAGTAGAAGTAAGTTCATTCTTTAGATCTTTACTTATAACACGTTATAGTTTTGCTGCCTTATGACAAAAGCAGTATTGCAGCAAGATGGGACTAAACAATGATTGTTTTTAGGATTAATTCAGTTCATGCTTTTAAGCAGTTATGTGTGTTTAAAGCATAGTAATTTTGATAAAGGAGCCCAGGTGATACAGTGGTTAGGTGCTCAGCTGCTAATCTAAAAGTTGACAATTCAAACCTAGTAGCCCCTCCACATGAGAAAAATTTACGAAAAGATACCACAGGATTCTTTTCAAAATATTTAAAATTACTAAACCTTAGGGATCACTTTTATTATGATTATATAACACGTCTGAATTCAACCTGCCTAATATCTTCTAAGTGGAAGAAATAATCTGGCAATTTGCTCTTGTACAAATTTACATCCTTGGAAACCCTACAGGGCAATTCTACTCTGTTGGAATTGACTTGACACAATGTTTTTTTTTTTTTTTTTTAAATCTTGACAAAGCTGGAAAGGAAGGATGGGACCACATTAGGAAGGACCTAATGCTATAAGGACAGTGGTGGTTCAGTGGTAGAATTCTCACCTTTCACGTGGGAAACCTGGGTTTGATTCCTGGCCAGTGCACTTCATGCACAACCACTATCTGTTGGCTAGTGGAAGCTTGTATGTTGTTATGATGCTGAACAGGTTTCAGTGGAGGTTTCAGACTAAGGGAGACCAGAAACAAAAGCCTGACCATTTACTTCCAAAAATAAGCCAATGAAAACCCTGTGAATTGCAGTGGTCCTTTCCATAACTGATCATGGGGATGACTCAGGACTGCACACTGCTTCATTCTGTTGTGCATGAGGTCACTATGAGTTGACACCAGCTAACAACAGCAAGGCAGAGTGAAGCCTCAAAAAAACCAAACTCACTGCTATGGAGTTGATTCTGACTCATAGTGACCCTACAGGACAGAATAGAACTGCTTCATAAGGTTTCCAAGACTGTAAATCTTTACAGGAGCAGACAGCCTCATCTTTTTCCTGCAGAGGGGCTGGTGGGTGTGAACCAATAATCTTTTGGTTAGCAGCTGAATGCCTTAGCCACTGCACCATCAGAGCTCCTAGAATGAAGCCTAAGAAGCGATAATTTCCTTCTCAATCCCAGTTCTTGAATGATAAGATAATGGCCTCTAAACAACTAAATCAAGCCAAACTCACTGGCATCAAGTTGATTCTGACTCACAGTGGCCCCCTTTGCCTAAGGCATTTGACTGCTAACCAGAATGTTGGTGGTTCAAAGTTACCAGTCACTTCTCGGAAGGAAGGTTGGACAATCTATTTCTGTGGTGATACTGCCTCGGAAACCCAAGGAGGGGTTGCCATGAGTTGGATCCGACTCGACGGCAGTGAGTTGGGTTTCTGAGGCAGTAGATCTTTATGGAAGTAGATTGCTCAGTCTTCCTTCTGTGGAGTGGCTGGTGGGTTTGAACTGCCACCTGCATATGTTGGCTTCTCAAGTAGAAATATAACGGTTACTAGATTCCTCTGTGCTTAGAGCAGCTCATGGGTTCTTTTCATAAATGCTAAGAAATTTCATATGTGAATCAACACATCTATTTCTAATACCATTTCCCACATAAGCAATCCTTCTGTGTTAATTCTGTGTTCTTTTACTTAGCATTTGTATGTATGGTTGCTATATGTGTAAAGCCTCATGTCAATCTCATAAATATTGTGAAACTATAACTGTCTTAGTTATGTAGTGCTGCTATAACAAAAATACAGCTGCGAGGCTTTAACAAACAGAAATATATTTTATTACAATTTAGAAGGCTAGAAGTATGAATTCAGGGTGCCAGCTCCAGGGGAAAGCTTTCTATGGAGGAAGGTCCTTGTCTCTTCTGTGTGTCTGCTCTTGGGCGATCTTCATGTGATTTGGCATGTGGCATCTTTCCCCCTCCCCCAGTTGCTAGCTTGCATTTAATCTCTCTTATATCTCAGAAGAGATTGACTCAATATACACCCTACTCTAATATGGTTCATTAACATAATAAAGACAACCTATTCTCAAATGGGATTATCACCACAAGCAAAGAGGTTAGGATTTACAACACATATTTTTTGGGGCACACAGCTCAACCCATAACATACTACCTTTTGACCCTCCAAAATTCATG